GCAGGCTGAGCCCTGTCAGCTGAGCCCCTGACCTCGGCCCAGAGCGTGCCAGGCACTGGGCTCTGCCTTTTAGTGTTTAGGTCTCGGGGGAAAGTGGCCCAGAGAAGGTGAAGGCAGCAGCCACTTTGCTGAGCTTTTGCACAGACTGAGCAGTCGGCAGCGAGGAACTCCGGGTCATGCTTTCTGACAAATTAGAGAGACTGATTTTGATTCCTTGAAGATACCTGTTGAGAGCAGGGGCCTGAGGTTTGGCAGCATCTGGAGAGCTGGGGAAACCAAGATCGGCCTGGGAATTGCCCTGTCCTTGGACAATCCGCCCAGCTTAGAAATGCCCAGCACATGCCACAGCTCCACTCGGCGGCTCCGCCTCAAGGCGGCGGGCAAAGGCGGAGACATGGCCTGGCACTGCGACTGCGTGCGGGGCTGTGCTCTGTCTGATGCAGTGCGCAGTCTCCGTGCCGGGGGTGGCCGCCTGTGTGCCAACGGAGGTGTCTGCATAGGTCAGCAGGCTGCTGGGGCAACAGAGCAGGGCAGGGGGTGGGGTTGGCACTCTTGGTGAACAGGAGGCCATGGCCCTTCTGGGGTGGCTGGTCAAGCAGAGTGTGCCCCATGGTGGGGGGTGGGGGGTGGCAGAGAGCCTCCATGCTCTGCTGCACAGGCTCCCAGATGGGCATCAGGCTGCCCCATCAGGAAGTGGGCAGCTGCTACGTCAGGCCAGGAATCCGCCTACTGGGACAGAGCGGGGCAACAGAAAGCCAGGCATTTGTGGGGCTTCCTCCTTCAGTCACCCTTTCATCATCAGGCGGCCCACCAGCGGTGGTCAGGCAAGGACTGGGTGGCCTCCTGTGTGACTCCTCCTTCATTCTCTAGCCACGTACGCCTGCGTAAGGTACTGGCTCCTCCACCTCTGCTTCCCCTTCTGATCGTCCCGGGCCTGGACTCCCAGGGCGGAGCGAGGAGCAGGAGTGAGAACACCTAGGGCAGGTGTGGCACCGCGCTGCTCCCTGAGCACGCAGCCAGCTCCCTCTGCTCCCACTGCCAAGTTACTGGGTCCCACTCACCTTCACAGGACCTGCTGACAGGTCTGCTTCTCCCGAACGCCTCCCGTTACTCTGAACTTCATTGCAGCGGACCCCACCTTTTTCTTAAGCCCCATTGTGCCAACGTTTGGCAG